GGGGGGGGGGGGGTTTCTTAATTGCTTCCTGCGGTTAATCGTCGGCATCATACGTCGTCATCCTACGTCGTGGCCGCCATCGCCACCATCACCATCAACAACACCACACTCAACATCATCGCCAACATCATCACCAAAATCAACATTCCCGTCATCGTCAACGTCACCACTGTCACCATCGCCATCGTGATCGTCATCACCATGTTCGACGCGCTCGTCGTCGCCGCTGTCGCAGCCGTCGGAGCCGACGAGGGCGCCGAGGTCGTGCTTCTGACGGCTCGGGGGGAGCAAGAGGAGCCCAGGGGGGCGCCAGGGCCGAGAGGAAGGTGCGGAGCAGGAGGCCACTGGCCACGGAGGCTACGAGAAGGACGCCGCTGCACCACACCATGTCTGGACTCCGTGCGGGCCCCGCTCCAACGCGGTATGGTGATAGTTTTGTTCGGCCCTGGGTCCAAAACCGACGACGCCACGGGAGATACCGGCGCGGCACGGTGCATGCAAATCATCTGCGGAGAGTCGCGCGAGGGGTGGCAGCAGCGAAAGGTCAGATTTACAGGGGCGCAGCGCAAAAACTCCTCCAAGCGGCGTGGGCATGGGCCGCCGCCGCGCTCTGTCCAGCCGGCGCGCGCCCAGGGTGGCCAGGCGCCGGCGCGGGCGGAGGTGGAGGAGGAGGAGGCAAGAGAGAAACGAAAAAAGGATCACGCAAGAGGGGAGGAGCAGGGTGGGCGCGAAAGAGACCTGGGGTATTTCCCCCGAGGACAACAGCCTCGTGCCGAGGCACCTTAAGACGGCCCTGGAGGACAGAGGAGGGCCCCGAGAGCCCGACAAGGGAAAAGAGGTTGAGGGTGGGGGGGGGGGGGGCGAAACAGGACAGATCTACCTCGGACCCTCTCTCCCTTCATGGCGACAGGAGGCCCATGCGAGGGGAGGAGCTGCCCTCCTTCCTCCCCTGGCCTCCGGGCCAGGTAGCTCGTGCCCCCAGCGGCCGTCTGGGACAACTCGGGCATCCCTGGGACGCTCTCGCCGAGGCGGAGCGGACGGACGGGGAAACCAAAATGTGCCGATATCGCTACTCCCCAGCGAACCCAGCGGTGGCGACGAGGGCCTGGCAGGAGGCCCTAAAAGGCGAAAGCGAGGAAAGGGTAGCAGTGTGGGTACCCTCTTCCTACTACGAATGGAAGCCATCCCGAGGCCCCGAAAACATCAAAGAACGCTTCAAAACTCAAAATTTTGCCTGGCGAAGGATGGACCCAAACAGATGCAGTTGTAAGTATCACAGTTGTCAGTATCATCTTCGATGAAGCTCCCCATGGGGCCACGAAGCGTGTGAGGGGTGTGCCGGAATGGGCGCGGAGGCGCCATGCGAACCCTCCCTCTGGGGCCGTCGGTGGAGCTCCCTATGGGGCCACGAAACACTTGAGTGGTGTGCCGAAGTGGGCGCGATGACGCCACGCGAACCCTCTCACTGGTGCCTGTGGTGGAGCTCCCTATGGGGCCACAGACCGTGAGAGGGGTGTGCCGAAAGAGGTGCGGTGGCGCCATGCAAGCCCTTCCACTGGTGCCTTCGGTGGAACTCCCCATGTGACCACGAAACGTCTGAACGGTGTGCAAAAATGGGCGCGGTGGCGCCATGCGAACCCTCCCAGCGGGGCATTCGGCGGAGCTCCCTATGGGGGGCACAAAACGTCTGGGAGGTGTGCCAGAATGGGCGCGGTGGCGGCATGCGGTCCCTCCCACTGGGGCCTTCGGTGGAGCTCCCGATGGGGCCACCAAACGTGTAAGAGGTGTGCCGGAATGGGCGCGGTGGTGGCATGCGGGCCCTCCAAGTGGGGCCGAAGCGTGTGAGCGGTGTGCCGAAATCGATGCTGTGAGGCCAGGCGAACCCTCCCACTGGGGCTCTCGGTGGAGCTCCTTGTGGCCTCCTCCTCCTCCTCCTCCTCCTCCTCCTCCTCCTCCAGTTTTCGGCTCGCGAGGAGCTGCCTCCCCCTTGGGCGCCTGCGGGGCAGGCGAGGGGATAGGCTCCTGGCGCGCGCCGAGACCAGCGCTCGCGACGGCGGCTCCGCGGGAGGCTGCCGCCCATCATCGAGCGCGACTACAACGCAGGGAGGACAGGTTCCTCTTCCACGCCTGGTCGGGGCGCACGACCCCTGCGCTGGTAGCCAGGCTGCGCGGCGCGGCCCAGCGGTTGGACGCCCATCACGGCTCCTCTGCAGGGGCGATGGCGCCTGCACCGCCGCAGGCGAGAGTGCTGCGTGGCCCCCGAGAGCCTGTCTGGGGATGCCAGTGTGGGAAGGACAACAACTGGGCCTGCCGCATCGTGTGCTCCTGCGGGCGGCAGGCTTCTCAGAAGGTCATCAACGCTGCCAAGAAGGCGGACCAGGAGGCGCGGAACAAGAAGCCCTCGCAGAGGGCAGGAGGCACAGGGCTCGTGCGGAAGCCTGCCCCGTGGTCCAAGGAGAGCGGCCTCACGGAGAAGAAGATCCGCGAGCTGGTGCAGCAGTGCATCTCCCAGCACGCGGGCAGCACCAAGGGGCCCCCATCGCCTACGGCACCAGCGTCATCAGGAGCGGGCGCCGGTTGCAAGGAGCAGGCGCAGCACGTGCAGGGCAACATCCAGCAGCGCACGGAGCTCCAGGCGAAGATCAACTTCCACGAGAAGAGCCTCAAGGAGTGCAAGATCGTGGAGGAAGAGGGCGGCCCAATTCACCTCCTGCACCAGCGGGCCCTCGACGTCCTTCGGCAGCAGGCGCGTGAATTGCGCCCCCCAGGCGCTGCTTACAAGGCCTCGTCCCAGAAGCTCGCGCGGTGCATGCAGCAGCTGGACCGCTTCACGAGCGACCTGCAGGGCCTGGAGGCGCAGCTGGAGGCTACCCAGCGCAAGATCCAGGATAAGCAGGAGGCCATTGCGGCTAAACAGGCTGAGGTGGAGGTCCTGCGAAAGGAGAATGCGAAGCACGAGCAAACCATGCAGGCTGCACGTGGTGAGAAGCCCCACCCAGTCATCAAGGAGGAAGACCTGGTTGGCTTCGACCTCGCCGAGCAGCTCGACGACGATGGCGCGAAGGAGGCCCTCGAGCAGTTCAAGGCGAGCCCCCACTTCGGCAAGATCCAGGCGGCCCTCCGCAAGCAGGCGGCGGAGAAGCTGGCTACGGTCATGGCTGAGGAACCTGGCGTTCATGCTCCTCATGCTGAGGGCGGTGGCGCAGGCGCAGCAGACGGACCGCCAGCTCGGGATGACGATGACATGGACGACGAAGACGCCGACGGCGACGCACAGCCTCGAGGAGGCGATAAGCGCGGAGCCGCCTGGGTGGAGCTGGCCAAGGATGACGTCGGCGCCCTCTGGCAGCAGCTCCTCAGCAGCGGACAGCAGCCTACGGACTGGACCAAGGAGAAGCTGGACGACGCCTTCACGCAGGTCCAGCACAGCAAGCACCGCAGGACTGCTGGAGGCTCCCTGGGCACAGGCACGATGCCTGGGTAACCCGCCCCTGGTCAGCGGGCTACTGGCTGCCAGCGCGGGCGCCAAGCAGCTACACGTACCAGCAGCGGTCACCATCACGCACACCTTCGAGACCTTCAACGCCAACCAGGGAAAGCTAACCCTCCAGAAGCGGCTGAGAAGGTCAACAGCAATGGTCATCATGGCTCAGGAAATAGGATACGGCATCGATGACTGCGAGAGCCTCTCTTCTTGGGCAACGGCGCGCGGCTGGCAAAGCCTCATCGTGCCAGGGCTGCCCTCACGAGGGTACCTCCCCTCCGCAGGCCTGGCAGTCTTCGCCAGGGAGGGGATCGGGCTGCGCGGGCCCACTTACCCTGGCGAGGCCCCGCCCAGACGTGCAGGCAGCGTCAACGAGACCATTGCGCACGGCACCGAGCTCGTCCGTGGCAGGGCTCAACACGTCGTCGTGGAGCTGCCGAACTGGCCGCCGCTCAACGTCGTCAACGTGTACCTCCACACAGGGGAGGGCATGAGCAGCCGCAACGCAAGTATACTCATGACGGTGGGGCTCGCGCTTGCGGGCCAGGCGCACCCTGGCATCATCGGCGGTGACTGGAACATGGACGTGCAGGTTGTCAAGAACTCCGGCTTCCCCGTGCACGCGCAGCTGGAGATGATCACCCCGAGGCACGCGACCTGCAGGACAGCGGCGTCGGTGTCAACCATCGACTACTTCGGGCTGACCACGGGAGCCATGCGCATGCTAGCTGCATGCAACGCAGACTTGACCTGGTCGGTAAAGCCGCATCGACCAGTTCAGCTTCAACTGGCAGCGGAGGGCACCAAGCTCAGGTACCTCACCTACGTAGGCGGTGCGAAGATACCAGCGCAGATTGTGCACGGACCTTTCCTCGAGGAGAGCAGCTGGTCCCTGGAGCGCAGCTTCGCTGAGCAGGCGCTGAGCATGGCCAAGGAGGCGCCTGCTGCAGTCGCCTGGCGTTTCCTCTCGAAGGCTTGGGGCAGATGGGCGACCAGGGCAGCCTCGAGGCTCGGGCACCTCGCTGGTACGGAGACGCGGGCCAGCGCCTACGCGCGTCCGCTCCAAGCCAAGTGGGTCGAGCGTGAGCACCAGGTCCTCACGGAGGATGAGGTACAGGCGGTCGCGGATGGATGGAAGTGGCTGCAGGACTGCCTGGCGGGCCTCATCACCGCAAAGGCGAACGCCAGGACACCCGAGGGCCGACAGTTTCTCGACAACGAGCTGCAAGGCTTCCTCAGTGTAGACTACTGTGGGCAGAACCTAAGCGCGAGGCTCGACGCATCAGTTCGGCATGCTCGGCAGATTGCGCAGAGGAGTTTCAGCAGTGAGGACATCATGACCTTCTCGGAGGAGATCGACGAGGATGTTAACTTTGCCATGCAGCTAGCGAACAAGGAATCTTCGAGGCGCTGGAGAGAATGGTGTGACGGGGCCTGTGCGGGCGGAGCGGGGAAGCTCCACAAGGTCACTCGCGTGCGAGCAATTCAGGCCCCCACCACGGTTAACGACTCGGAGAACGGCATCACAGGGCACCCGCACTTTGTAGTCAAGGATATGGAGGATACGCACGCAGCGCTGTGGAAGGCGGTCAAGGAGCCTCCCCAGGCGTGGATTCCTGATAGGTCTACCCTCGCACGGCCATCACCAGAGGACCTTCGGCGCGCCTCCCGTACCTTCAGCATCAAGACCTCCAGCAGCCTGGACGGCCTCCACCCCACGCACTTAGAGCACCTCAGCGATGACGCGTTGGAGGGCCTGTGCGACATCATGCTGGCCTGCGAGGCGCTGGGCCTCTTCCCTGTCCAGCTGACGTGGATGGTGATGCCGATGCTGCCCAAGGCCGCTGGAGGCCACCGTTTGATCATCCTATACTCCATGGCCTACAGAGTCTGGCAACGACTACGTAAACCTGCCCTCCTACCTCTGCAAGAGGCCCTGCGAAGGCCCTATTGGGCGGCTGCCAAGAACAGGAGCGCGGTCGACAGTGCCTGGATCACGGCAGCGGATGCGGAGCAGAATGCAGAGGCAGGGCGGCACACGGCCACCATCATTGCTGACTACAGCAAGTACTACGAGCTGATTCCCCTGGACGAAGCAAGGGACAAGCTGCTGAGGCTTGGAATGCCCTTGGCGATGGTAAAAATTGTGTACAACCAGTGGAGAGGACCACGAGTGATACGTCTCCACCAGCATCACGGCGCGCAGCCACGGCATGCAAAGTTCGGCCTCCCAGCAGGCGATGGCTACGCAGACGTGGTCATAAAGGCGCACGCCATCGAGCAGTACGATATCTACGTCACGCTCCACCCGCTGGTAAGGTTCGCGTCCTACATTGACGACACCTCCCTCGGTATCAATGGAGCCACCAAGGAGAGTGTCATCCTGCAGGCGGTCGAGGCGGGCAATGCCTTTTTCAATGTGGCTAAGAAGCTCGGCGCCCGTATTAATGATAAGCTTGCTGTGGTGGCCAGCTCAAATGATATTGGGAAGGAAGTGGTGCGGCAGCTGCAACTTCCTACTGACATGAATCGCAGTCGGGCGACCTACCTGGGCACTGACTTCGCGGGAGCACGGAGGAGGCGAGGGAAGCTCCTCCGCGCCAAGCAGCAGGCACGCCACAAGATCTACAAGCAGAGGCTGCGCAAGCTGGGGCGATTCAGACATCGACTACCAGGACAGCAGACGCAGCGCACGGCCAAGATATTCCGAGCTGGAGCTCGACCTGCGGCCACCTTCGGCGTGGAGATCACGGGCCTCGCCGACAGGGAGCTCCACAAGCTGCGATCAGACTTCGACAAGTTCCGCAAACCCTGTCATGGGGGTGTCTCGGCCTCGGCCAAGGTGGTGCTACTGGGCGACCCCACAGTGGCGATTGCGATGGCGCCAGTGCTGCAGTGGTCGCGGATGGTCTGGATGGCAGTATCGCAACCTACTCAGGCACCAGTACCTCTGGCACTACTTACGACGTGGTGGCGAAGAGCGGTGGAAGTACCTGGGGTATGCAGCTCGTGGGGAGCTACCCGTGGGCCTCTCCAACGAGCTGCCCTCTCGCTGGCGCGGGCAGGCTGGACGGCAACCTCGGCACTGAGGTGGCGTAACCATCGAGGGGATCAGGTATTTGTGGAGCAGCTTACCCCAAGCTTAATGCTCCAGATGTTGCAGCAAGGCGTTCAATGTCAGCATGAGCGAGACCTAGCGGGCAAGATTGGCCTTGGTGAGGGCAAGCGTGCCACTTTCGACATCCTAGCCCCCCTGGTCTCCATGCGCAGCAAACGGTACACGGCGCACCAGAAGTTCTGCATCATGAATGTAGCGTGCAGTGGAGTCTGGACAAGGATGAGAGCCCAACAGCGTGGATACAACACAGATGGTAGGTGTCCCTGTGGAGCTCCCGACTCGCTGGTGCACCGACTTCTTGATTGCACAAGACCTGAAGTTCAGCAAGCTCGAGCTGATGCAGAGGTCCCACAACATTTCCTCGACGGGCTACGCATGCATGCAGATGGGCCTGGTTTTATTGAGGGTATTTTTGGATATGCGTGTGCTGATGTTCCGACAATGAGTTTGGGCACTACCAGCGTCATACTTGACGGCCAAGGAGTCCCAGTACCAGATGAAGTATGTCAGGAGCCTGAGCAGTTGGCAGCCTGTTTCCTCAGGGATGACGATGCTAGTATGGAGGTCGCTACTGACGGATCGTGCACCAAGCCGCCCATCAAGGAATTCCAGCGAGCAGGATGGAGCCTCGCCCTGCTGGACCCCCGCTCAGACATGCCGCTGGCGACCATGCACGGAGCAGTACCCGCATCCTTACCCCAAGAGTCTGCCGTCGGAGAGCATCTAGCGGCAGCCTTCGTGTCTCAGGTTGCAGACCGGCCCTGCACCGTCCACGCCGACTTCAAGGGCGTCATCCATCTGGGCAACAAGCAGAAAGAGCTGCAGCTGAAGGCCAGGACCCCCTATGCGTGCATCGCCCACTTCGCGCAGTCGCTCGACGGCTTCGCGCACGTGCAGCAGTACGCCCACGTCAAAGCGCACCGCTCTGGGGACGAGTACGCAGCGCTCTCCGACAGCCAGAGGAGGATAACGGACGCGAACATTGTAGCGGACCGCAGGGCCAAGGAGGCAGCGGCGATCCACCCCGCCCCCGAGCTGCACGTAGTCGAGGAGATGCAGAAGGGCGTAGACAGAATTTCCCAGTTAGCGAAGCTGATCGCCCACGTCATGCCCATCTTCGACAAGGACGACCAAATCAGGTGGACCAGGAGGGCACCGACCTGGCGGCGAGCAGCGAGCACAAGGAAGACAACATGGCACCAATGGCAAGATGGCGAGCTGGGCGTGCAATGCATCACCTGCTTACAGTTGCACATGCCTGGGCAACCGCCCCCCCTCACGGGGTGCCCTGGGACGCCCACTTTCCTGCTGGACCATCGGCGCAACCCCAATGGCCACAAGCTGGTCGCGGTCAACCAGAAGGGCACCTTGGAGAGCGACGGGCAGGACACCTACAGGCCAGTGTTCATCTGTGTCAAGTGTGGGGCTTGGGCGCTGCAGCGGCGCAAGGCCAAGTAGCGACAGCCCTGCGCAGTCGCCACTACCAAGGGCCTCGAGGTCCTCCACAACCTGAGGCGTGGCTTCGGTCCCTTCAAGAAGCTGAAGAAGTTCATCGACAGCACCACCCCTCTTCGACGGCTGGAGACGACAAGCGAGGTTCACACCACTTTCACGAAGGTTGACATCCTCAGTGGCACGGACGGGGCAGTGCCTGAGGCAGGTTTTGAGAGCAGAATGGCTGCACTTCACCAACGAGTGCGTGAAAGGGCACAGTCCTGGTGTGACGAGCAGGAAGGGAGGAACACCATGTTCGGACACGCGATGGCCAGAGGAGATTTCCAGCAGGCGGCAGTTCGCGGAGCTCGAAGGGATAGGCGTGCTGGGGCACGACTCAGGGGAGCCCAAGGAGCTGCTGCTGCTGGGAAGCCCAGTGCCGCCGCCAGCACGGGACCGCGCCGCAAGACCACGCAGTGCGTCATCTCCTCGGCCGCGGCGGACAGCGTGGAGCACGTCACGGAGTATGCCGCTGCTGGGGCTGCTGGCGCGGGGGCGCTGCGCGGCTCGGCGGCGGCTTTCGACGGCTCGGGCGCGCTGGGCGCACAGTACGTGGGCGCGCTGGGCGACGACGAGCACGACACTCAGGAGGTAGCAGCCTCGGAGGCGCTCGGCCTGGAGAAGGACTCCTTCGACGGCTCAGCCGCGCTGGACGTCGCGGTCGAGGGCGCGCTGGGCGACGACGAGCACGACGCCGAGGCTGCAGCTGCTGCGGAGGCGCTCGGCCTAGCGATGGGCCTCGGCAGATCGGGCACGCTGGACGACGGCCTCCTGGGCGCGCTGGGCTTCGGCGCTGAGGCGGCTGATGCTGGAGAGGCGGGCAGATCGCTGGCGGTCGTCGACGGCTCGGACGCGCTGGGCGTCGACACCAAGGGCGCGCTGGGCGACGCGGAGCACGACGCGGAGGCTGCAGCTGCGGGGGCGGCGAACTGCCTTTCGGCGGGCGCCGACGGCTCGGACGCGCTGGACGTCGACCCCGTGGGCGCGCTGGACGACACCGCGCACGACGCCGAGGAGGCTGCTGCGGGGGTGGCGAGCGGCTCGGCCGCGGCCGGTGGCGTGTCGGGCGCGCGGGACGGCCACGCCGCGACGGCACTGGGCCCGCTGGGCTTCGCCGAGCGCGTCGCCCGCCTCCTGGCGGCGGCTGGCGCGCGTGGGCAGCAGGCCCCTGGCGCAGCCGCACCCAGCCTGGACGAGCGCGACGGCGCCATTGCCTCGGCCGAGCTCGAGGGCAGCGGGCGCGGCGCCGAGGCAGCAGCAGCGGGGGCGGTGTGCAGGCCGTGTGCCACGTACCCCCCTCTGCGCCACGGGCCTGCCTGGGAAAGAGTCCCCGCCCTCGGCGGTTGGCCAGGGCCCTGGGATCCTCGGGCCGCGCCGAGCGTACGAGGGCAAGGACGTGGGCAAGGTGGCGGCCTCGGCGGCCGCGTGGCCGCGCTGGACGGCGGCCGCCGTGCCTCGCTCGGCGGCCTCGAGCACGGCGTCGAAGCTGCCGCTGCTGCTGCGTCGCCGCGGGCGGAGCGGGCCAGTGCCGACTCCGAGGAGTCGAGGGACGGCGCGGTGGCCAGGGCTGCGGCTTTCAAGCAGCTCGTCGCGCTGGCGCAGAGGTCGTGAGGCCCGTCGGCCAGTACGTGCTCCTCATCTGAGGAGGCCGGCCAGGCGGCCGAACCCTGACCTCAGGGCTTGTCATCATCATCATCATCCTCCTCCTCCTCCTCCTCCTGCTCCCCTTCCTCCTCCTTCTCCCCCTCCTCCCCCTCCTCCTCCTCCTCCTCCTCCTGCTCATCTTCCTCCTCCTTCTCCTCCTCCTCCTCCTCCTCCTCCTCCCCCTCCCCCTCCCTGGGCGGAGGGGAGGGGGGGGGCTGCGGCGGAGCGGCGCTCGGCGCCTCCGTCGGGAAAAAATCAAAAGGTAGACCGCGACAACCCCAGACCTCTCCCGGGAGTGTTCTCCGACCAGAAGTTCGGGGCGACTCCGGCGGTGGCGACGAGGGCCTCCCAGGAGGCCCCCAGAAAGGTCGGAGGTTGATAGACCTCCTGCCCTGACACGTCGATTAGCGAATTGGCCGTTTCCGGTTCGCGAGGGGGCGTCGCAGCCGTCCTTCTTGCGGGCCCCGGTCCGTCGGTTTCGGTCCCGGGCCGTTTTCCTTGGGAGGCTTATGAAAGGGAGGTTTGTCCACCGCTGGAAATCGGGGGCGGCCAAGAGGGGGGTGATAACTAGAAGGGTGTGAGTATAATGTCGTGGGCCATGATGTCTCCCCAGATTTCACGGCGCCTCTTCTTCTTTCAAGACGTCCCTGCCCCCCCCCCCCTGGCCGCGCACCTGCCGCCGGCCATGATTTGCGCCCCCCCCCCCTCGTGGACGCCCCCCTCTTGTCCGCCCCGAGAGGGGGGAGAGCGAGGGAAAGGGCAGAGTCCAGGAAGAAGATTGTGTGGAGGTACCTCTGCTCCTCCTCCCCCTCCTCACCCCCTTCCTCCCTTCGCTCCTTCCTCTTCCTCCTCCTCCTCTCCTCCTCCCCTCCTCCTCCTCTCCCCTCCTCCTCCCCATCCTCCCTCGCCTCCTCCTCCTACCTTCCTCTCCTCATTCCCCCCCTCCTCCTCCCTTCTCCTCCTCTCCTTCCTCCTCCTCCTCCTCCTCCTCCGCATCCTCCGCCTCCTCCTCCCCTCTCTCCCTACTCGCCTCCTTCCTCATCCTCCTGAGCAAGCGTGAAAATACTCCTTTACGCCTGCTCCGCTCTTCATCCGCCTATCCTCCTCCTCCTCCTCCTCCTCCTCCTCCTCCTCCTCCTCCTCCTCCTGGGAGGTTTGTCGAGGTATGGAGGTACCTCTGCCTCCCCTGAGCTTCGGCCGTGCGCGCCCGCGCTCCCTCCCCTCGACCGCCGCAGCGCCGCCGGCCCGGGGCGCTTCGCCCTCCGCGGCGCGCTCCCAGGAGGCCCAAAGTCAGGAGGGGAAAAAATACACACGGGCACAGCCAATCGTCGATCCCCCAGAAAGATTGGAAAATATGGAAAGTGGGGGGGAAGACGAAAACCCAGAAAATGTGAGAACAGATAGGGAGAATTGTTACTTGTGTGTACTCATTTGTGTGTGTCCCAGGGCCCCTTCACAGAGAGGGGAAAACGAGGGAAGGGTAGAGTCAAGTCGGGCCTGTCCCTCTACAGGAGGAAAATTCAAAAGTAGTCAGAAAACAGTATGGGGACGGTTTTTTGACTAGTTTGACTAGCTTGGGGTATCTTTTGCGTATTTTGAGTTTTTCGTCCAAAATCCGCCTGTAGGGGGACGTTCCCGATCTAAGGGTGGAGGTGTGGGTACCTTATCCTACTCGAATCCCTTTGCGCGCGAGGTGAGGCGCCGGCCAGATATTCATCGGGCCACATGGAGGGCGCCGCCGCCCGCCGCGGCAAGGCCACCGGCCCGACGAGGCTGCCTCTGGGAAGCGCCCGCTGGCGGCAGGGCTCGCTTCGATTCCTTCGCTTCGATGCGCTTCGGTCTCGATGGCTTCCGATTCCAGGTCGATTCTCCTCGAGAGCACAAAGAACCCTTAACGCGGCGTGATTGAGATCCCCGTCTTCGCATCAGGGATAATCATTCTGGGTTATCTGGTCCGCTACATCTGCAGAACAGACTCCCTATCCCTGATGTTTTGGCCCTCCTAGCTTAGGTACCCTCCCAAAGGGTTAGGGGTCCTTTTTTGGTTCCAATGCGGGCTCTACATTCTAATGCGGGCTGAAATTTCTCCATGGAGGCCCACTAGCCTGCCGAGTCGCCGATCCGACTCTTCCCGACTCGGCCACAGATTTCGTCCGATCCGATTTGTTTCGATTGCCGACTTGTTTCGATTCGATTGTGGGCTATCTTGGCCTTCGGGCCCACGCCCAAACTGGGGGGGAGGATCTAGGCCTCCCAGGTGGGGTCGGAGTAGATGGGGTCGGAGGATCGCGCCGCATCGCCGCGATGCATTGGCGATGCGGCTCGATGAGGGTCCCGTTTTGTTGCACGTCGACGTCGCTGATGCATCGCCGACGTCGACGATCCATCGCTGATGCGTCGCCGATGTATCGTCGATGCGTCGCGGTCCTCCGACCCCATCTACTCGGACCCCATTGGCGAGGCCTCCAGCCAGAGGGGTGGCGGGCGGGGGAGGAATGAGCCAGTGAAGCCGCGCGTCCGTGAGGCACGCGAGCAGTGGCTCTATCAGGAGGGAAAGAAACACACAGACACAATTAATCGGCGATCTCCAGAAAATATAGGAAAATATGGGAAGTGGGGGGGAAGACAGAAGCCCAGAAAATATAGGAAAATATGGGGGATATGTTTATTTGTGTGTATTTATTTGTGTGTCCCAGTTCCCCTTTACTCTAGCGCTGCAGGAGCGGCGGCCTGGGGGGAAGGGTGAGGAGGAAGATGGGCACGTGGGCAGAGGGGTGCGAGGCGGGAGGCAGCGGGGAGGGCGCCCGGGAGGAGGACGAGGAGGAGGAGGGGGGGCAGGACTCGGACCGAGGCGGCCAGGAGTTCCGGTGCCCACGCTGGCTCGGAGGGGCGGAGCTGAGATCAGGAGGGGACAAAGACACAGAGACACAACGGATCGTCGATTCCCCAGAAGATGTGGGAACATATGGGAAGTGGGGGAGGAGGCAAAAGCCCAGGAACCATGGGAAGCTATTGGGAATCCTGTTACCTGTGTCTGTTTCTTTGTGTGTCCCAGGGCCCCTTCATGATAGTCGGCGGCCAGCGAGCGGGGGAAGTGAGAAGGAGAAGGCCTTCTCAGAGGGCGGCGGGGCTCGTCAGAACCCCTCGCGCCTTCTGAGAATATTGTCCGTGCCTTCGGGGAAGGCCCAGAAGACTCGTCAGAAGGCCGGGAGACCTCCGAGCCTTCTGAAAAGGCCCGCCCCATCGCACTTCTCCCCCAGGCCGGCTGCCGAAGGTGGGCTCGGAGGGGCATGGGGCTGATAGGACCTCTCGCGCGGGCCCACGGGGCAACAACGCAAGCTTTGAGCAGGAGGCGCCGTGCTCGGCAGAGAGGCGAGAGTGCTCTGCTCCGAAGTCGAGAAAAACGGATCGCCCTAAGTCGGGCGTGTATCTCTACAAAAGGAATTTCAAAAATAGTAAAAGAATGATCGGGGAACGATTTTTCGACTATTGCTGTCCATTTTTGATTTTCTGATTACTCAAATATTGTATTTTTAAATCTGCATGTAGGGGGACATGCCCGACCTAAGGATAGCCACCGGGGGAGCGGCAACAGTTGTTGACCAGAAGCCAGGTTTGAACAGCATCGCCAGCGCGCACAAGGAGGTTGCGCGCGGGGGTGGGCCTTCGAAGAGGGCGGCGGACGTTTCTCAGAAGGCAGGGGGGGGCCTCCTGCCCTCCTGGCCTCTACGAAGCCTTCTGAGACGCCCCTGGGCCCTTCTGAGAAGCCCCCTGCAAATCTTCCCCCGGCTTCTTAGAATCGGGGAAGCGGACGACTCGAGTGCCCCGGAACCCCGGGTGCGCCGGCGCTCTTGGACGCGCGCGTGCCTGGGTTTCTGGGCGGCCCAGTCTTCTCTTGCGTTGGCTGCGGCGGGAGCTTGCGGCAAAGCTCGGGTCGGGTCATCGTCGTGGTCATGATGGCCCCGTCGGCCCAAGCCGGGTCCCCCGAAGCCGAGTCTCACAGTCGGGCTGCTGAAGTAAGGAGCGCCAAAGAAGGAGCGAAGCCCTCCTGCGGCCTCAGGAAAGCCTGGGTGCACGAGAGGGGCGAATTGGAGGGGCAAGCACGCAGGGGCGTGAGGAACAGCGAGTCCCTTGCGAGTCCGAACTGTTCCTTAGTTCAGCGTTTGGGCTGAACGGCTCCCCCCCCCAGCAGACTCCTCCCCCAGCAGACCCGCCCCATGGCGTGCCCGCCGCCGACGGCGGCAGGGAGAAAAAGCGGTGCGTGCCAGCGGCCACGAGAGAGCAGCGGGCGGGGGCCCCCAGCCGCTTCGGCTCAGGCGCCTCGGGGCCTCCTCCCCCCTCCTCTCCTCGCCTCGCCTCGCCTCCTCCCCTCCTCCCTCCTCTCCCTCCTCCCTCCTCTCCCTCCTCCCTCCCTCCTCCCTCCCTCCTCCCTCCCTCCTCCCTCCCTGCCTCCTCCCTCCTCTCCCTCCTCCTCCCCCGGTCCTGCCTCCACACGGAAGCCCGCGTGGGCTCTGCGCTCCCGCCTCCCGCTGGCAGAGCTCCCGCCCCCCTCTCTCCGCGCGCTTATCTTTCGACAGATGCCACGATGTTTAGTTTTGCCAGGCGGGGAAAAAACACACAGACACAGTTGATCGTCGATCCCCCAGAAAATATGGAAAAATCTGGGAAGTGGGGGGGGGAGACAAGACCCCAGAAATTGCGCTACCGAGGAACCCCACATACTTATACTGTGGCTGGAGTGATGATAGCCTCCTTTTCCTCCTCTTCCTCCTCCTCGCCCCCTCGCCATGGAATTACTAACCAGGATGCCCCGATTTGGCATCGAGGTCTCCGATGCGCTGTGGCAGCCATCAAGCAACCGAACCGACTGGCTGCTCTGCAAGCCCGTTGGGCCGACAACATTCCCATACCGCCTCGGCGAGCTGGGAGCTGGGCCTACGACGACCCAGAATGTTGAGACCACCCCCTCCGCACCCCCTGTGGTGTCGCGAAAGTGCCACGCCTGCTAGGTTTTGCGACAGTGTCGTGGATAGCGGCCGAGCTGAGAGACCACCCCCTGCGCACCCCGTGTGGTGTCGAGAAAGTGCCACGCCTGCTAGGCGTTGCGCCAGTGTCGTGGATAGCGGCCGAGCTGAGAGACCACCCCCTGCGCACCCCGTGTGGTGTCGAGAAAGTGCCACGCCTGCTAGCTTTGCGCCAGTGTCGTGGATAGCGGCCGAGCTGAGAGACCACCCCCTGCGCACCCCCTGTGGTGTCGAGAAAGTGCCACGCCTGCTAGGCTTTGCGCCAGTGTCGTGGATAGCGGCCGAGCTGAGAGACCACCCCCTGCGCACCCCGTGTGGTGTCGAGAAAGTGCCACGCCTGCTAGGCTTTGCGCCAGTGTCGTGGATAGCGGCCGAGCTGAGAGACCACCCCCTGCGCACCCCCTGTGGTGTCGAGAAGTGCCACGCCTGCTAGGCTTTGCGCCAGTGTCGTGGATAGCGGCCGAGCTGAGAGACCACCCCCTGCGCACCCCCTGTGGTGTCGAGAAAGTGCCACGCCTGCTAGCTTTGCGCCAGTGTCGTGGATAGCGGCCGAGCTGAGAGACCACCCCCTGCGCACCCCCTGTGGTGTCGAGAAAGTGCCACGCCTGCTAGGCTTTGCGCCAGTGTCGTGGATAGCGGCCGAGCTGAGAGACCACCCCCTGCGCACCCCCTGTGGTGTCGAGAAAGTGCCACGCCTGCTAGGCTTTGCGCCAGTGTCGTGGATAGCGGCCGAACTGAGAGACCACCCCCTGCGCACCCCCTGTGGTGTCGAGAAAGTGCCACGCCTACTAGGCTTTGCGACAGTGTCGTGGATAGCGACCGAGCTGAGAGACCACCCCCTGCGCACCCCCTGTGGTGTCGAGAAAGTGCCACGCCTGCTAGGCTTTGCGCCAGTGTCGTGGATAGCGGCCGAGCTGAGAGACCACCCCCTGCGCACCCCCTGTGGTGTCGAGAAAGTGCCACGCCTGCTAGGCTTTGCGCCAGTGTCGTGGATAGCGGCCGAGCTGAGAGACCACCCCCTGCCACCCCCTGTGGTGTCGAGAAAGTGCCACGCCTGCTAGGCTTTGCGCCAGTGTCGTGGATAGCGGCCGAGCTGAGAGACCACCCCCTGCCCACCCCCTTTGGTGTCGAGAAAGTGCCACGCCTGCAGGCTTTGCGCCAGTGTCGTGGATAGCGGCCGAGCTGAGAGACCACCCCCTGCGCACCCCCTGTGGTGTCGAGAAAGTGCCACGCCTGCTAGGTTTTGCGACAGTGTCGTGGATAGCGGCCGAGCTGAGAGACCACCCCCTGCGCACCCCCTGTGGTGTCGAGAAAGTGCCACGCCTGCTAGGCTTTGCGCCAGTGTCGTGGATAGCGGCCGAGCTGAGAGACCACCCCTGCCCACCCCCTCTGGTGTCGAGAAAGTGCCACGCCTGCTAGCTTTGCGCCAGTGTCGTGGATAGGGACCGCGGTGAGAGACCACCCCCTGCGCACCCCCTGTGGTGTCGAGAAAGTGCCACGCCTGCTAGCCTTTGCGCCAGTGTCGTGGATAGCGGCCGAGCTGAGAGACCACCCCCTGCCCACCCCCTTTGGTGTCGAGAGAGTGCCACGCCTGCTAGGCTTTGCGCCAGTGTCGTGGATAGCGGCCGAGCTGAGAGACCAACCCCTGCGCACCCCTTGTGGTGTCGAGAAAGTGCCACGAGCTGTGCTGAGCTGAGCTGAGCTGAGCCGTGCTGGGCTGTGCTGAGCTGTGCTGAGCTGAGCCGAGC